TTGAGGTCTTTAATCCATTTGGACTTGAGTTTTGTGCATGGTGATAGATATGGGTCTATTTTCATTCTTCTACAGGTTGACAACCAGTTCTGCCAGCACCATTTGTTGAAGATGCTCTCTTTCTTCCATTGTATACTTTTAGCACCTTTATCAAAAATCAGGTGGTCATAGGTTTGTGGGTTAAAATCCGGGTCTTCTACTCAATTCCATTGATCGACTTCTCTGTTTTTATGCCAATACCAAGCTGTTTTCAATACTGAAGCTCTGTAATAGAGTTTGAAGTCAGGGATGATAATGCCTCCAGAAGTTCCTTTATTGTATAAGATTGTTTTGGCTATCCTGGGTTTTTTGTTTTTCCATATAAAGTTGATTATTGTCCTCTCAAGATCTGTGAAGAATTTTGATGGGATTTTAATGGGGATTGCACTGAATCTATAAATTGCCCTTCGTAGAATTGCCATTTTAACTATGTTGATCCTCCCAATCTAAGAGCAAGGGAGATCCTTCCATTTTCTGGTATCCTCCTCAATTTCTTTCTTCAAAGACTTAAAGTTCTTGTCTGTTGGTAAGAGAAAAACCCAGAGTTTCTGGAGTTTCTGTATCATGTCAAGAACCATGATATAGGACAAAAAGAAATATGAGTTTAGAAAACATCTTTGCTTTTCTTCATATCTATCATACTTTTCATTGAATATATATATATATATGTCTATATGATTAATGTTTAAGTTTTTCACAATGAACAATGAGTTTTTCCTGAAGTGACATTTGAAGTTTCCAGGAAGAAGGTGGGGCCCCATAACAACAACTCCACCTGGTTGATATGACGTCATGATACTGATAGTGCTACTACAAGACCCGTTTTGGGTACCAGCTGCACAAGACGATCCCAACTTGGTTAACTGAAATGGTGCACATCTTTCACAACATTCTGGCCAGACCTGCACAAAATACTCAGAGACTATTTGCAATTTTAAAAGACATTGATCTTGAAATTTAACCATCATTTTACTTTCACAGGATCCCCCAGAAGAACGTCGCCCCCATGACAGCTGGAAGTAATTTTAGAGGACAACGTCCCCTCTCCCAGTAAAGTTTGTCCGTGGGTTTAGGGACATCATTTAGGGGTTGATTATAATTAGTATATGGTTGAGGGTTGGGGGAGGAATTTTATAAGCTCAGGGATCATTTCGGGAAAAAAAAGAGGGATGATGGGATAATATATTTGTAATTGTGAGTTACTGTTTTTAGACAAATATATTGGTATCGATTCTTGTATATTGATACAAAGTTAAATTATATTGACTATTGTATGCATGCAGGCTTCTACCTCTGTTTAAAACATTTTTATGTATTGATATATATATAGTATATATTTACCATATTGCAGTGTACATTTCTACCTCTGATTAAGATACTTATATAATGTTTGTATATTGATATATATTTACCATATTGCAATGTATATTTGTACAGTGTTTATATTTGGAGGTCATTATCCTCATTTGTTACACAGTTGTTTATTGTCTTAGTCTTTAAGTTAGATAGATATTGAGAATTATATAGATTAATAGTCATCTAAGTTTGTCATTTATAATTAGACTAATCAGGTTCTTTAGATATATAGAGATTATACTCAGTATAGATAGATAATCTTCAACCTCTTTGAAGAGCTGTAGAATATGGCCTTTAATATAACTCAGAGTTTCATGATAGTGAGACACAATTGCTCCTGGCAACACCGCTCTATTCCCGAGAGAATGTTGAGCACCAAAGACACTCCACCTGGAGCCTTTCTTTTTGGCAGAACTGGCCTTGGGGCAAAGAAATGCCCATACCTCAACAACTGACAGAGATACAGAGCGTGCATCAATAAATAAAACAGGACTGTCATATCCTGCCAAGACAGGGTAAGATAGTTTTGAAAAGTTGCTTGCCTTTGAAAATGGTATGTCAGTTATGTTAGGCCTTAGCCAAAGTTGGTTGCTTCAACGCTGGCTTCCTTGGTTTGTGGTTTTCCTTCTAGTATTTTCTGTAAGGCTGAGTTTGTGGCTATGTATTGTTTAAATCTGTTTTTGTCCTGGAATATCTTATTTTTTCCATCAATGGTGAATGCAAGCTTTCCTGGGTATAGTAGTCTGGGCTTGCATCCATGGTATCTTAGTTTCTGTAGCACATCTATCCAAGACCTTCTGGCTTTCATGGTTTCCACTGAGAAGTCAGGTGTAATTCTGATAGGTTTCCCTTTATATGTTACTTGACCTTTTCCCCTTGCAGCTTAATATTCGTTCTTTATTCTGTATATTTTGTGTTTTGATTATTATATGGCAAGGGGATGCTTTTTTCTTATCCACTCTATTTGGTGTTCTGTATGCTTCTTGTACCTTCATAGAATATCCTACTTTAGAAATATCATTCTTTAGGAAAGTTTTCTTCTTTAATTTTGTTGAATATATTTTCTGGGCCTTGAGCTGTAATTCTCCTTTTTTTATTTAATTAAAAATTTCCACCTTCTCCCCTCCTCGCATTTCCCTCCCGCTCCCCTCATCCCCCTACCCCTTCCTCTCCAGTCCAAAGAGCAGCGGGGGTTCTCTGCCCTGTGGGAAGTCCAAGGTCCTCCCCACTCCATCCAGGACTAGGAAGGTGAGCATCCAAACAGACTAGGCTCCCACAAAGTCATTACATGCAGTAGGATCAAAACCCAGTGCCATTGTCCTTGGCTTCTCAGTCAGCCCTCCTTGTCTCTTCTCCTACCCCTATTATTCTTAGGCTTGTTTTTTTGGGTATCCCAGATTTCCTGGATGTTTTATGTTAAGAATTTGTTGGTTTGCTGTTTTCTTTGATCAGTGTGTTTATTTTCTCTATGGTATCTTCAGTATCTGATATTCTTTCTTCTATCTCTTGTATTCTGTTGGTTATACTTGTCTTTGAAGTTTCTGTTAGTTTCCCCAGATTTTCCATATCCTGCCATCTATTCGTTTGTGTTTTCTTCATTGCCTTCATTTCAGTTTTCAAGTCTTGAACTGTTTCTATTCCCTGTTTGATTGCTTTTTCTAGGTTTTCTTGGGTATCTTTGAGGGATTTATTAATTTCTTCTAACTTTTTGTTAGTCTTCTCATCCATTTCTTTAAAGGAGTTTTTCATATCCTGTTTAATGGTCTCTAACACTTTCATGATGTTACGTTTAAAGTCGATTTCTTCTACTTCTGGATTAGAATGTTCAAATCTTCCTGTTGTATGTTCGCTGAAATCTGGTGTTATCATGTTGCTTTTCAGATTGTTGGAGGAATTCTTACATTGGTGCCTGACTATCTCTTCAAATGCTGTTAGGAGAGTCTTGGCTGCTTGGTCCGATCTTTGCTGTGGCTAATTGTGTACTTGGGGTTTTTCTTGGTCTGCCCTTTCTTAGATCCCTTGAGTTGGCTCTCAGATCCTCTCCACCCTAAAGTAGGCTGTGGTGGTGGGCCTAAGGACCCTACAGATGGAGAGAAGTACTTGAGGGACAAGCTGGGATGGGATAAGTAGAGAAAGGCAGTAGCCGGGGAGAAGCCCCACTGAATGGCCAGAATGTTTAGGGGATTGGAGGGTGCCTATGCTCCATTCCTGGGGCATCCCACCGGCCAGTCGGGAACTCATTTACCCCTCCAGACGGAACTTCTGGTGCAGGAGCAGGGCCCACTTGCTGGCCAGGGACCTCACAGACAAAAGGGTGGGCTGTCATTGCGTTGGGTTGGGTTACTCAGTCTAGGGGTTTGTAACCCACCCTGCAATCAGTTATTCCAGGGTCACGGAGGGGTGCTACCTGGAAGGGAATGAGCTAAGACAGAAGAAGGAGGCCAAGCAGATTTGTCAAAGCCTCCGTTTATTAGGGACGGGTTACAGTTTATATATGGTAAGGAATGGGGGGCAGGGCAAGGGATCTCGCCGCGTGGTCCCGGTCACATAGGCCAGGTTACATTCGGACGGGTAGGCCAGAAGTCACAAGTTGCCACACCTGGTTCCCTGGATAGCTGGAATGTGAGGCAGGTTCCGCTAACAGATAAGTTAATTGGGTGGGGGGCAGATTCTGTCAATAGAACATAATTATGGGTGTGAGGTTCTCTGCAGACTCCCTAGGGTGATGGTTCCTGTAATTTTAGGGGGGAAATGGCTCCTGACAGTGGGCTTGCTAGGTGCAGGGTCAGTAGAACAAAGACACTCCTGCAGCAGTTGCACTCATCACTTCGTCTCCAGACCCTCAACCCCAAAGCAGGCTGAGTTGGGGGATCCTATGACCCCGCAGATGGAAAAGGGTGCTTGGGGGCAACCTGGGATGGGATAAGTAGAAAAAGATTGCTTCCTGGTATTTAAATAAGCAATGGACCACTGAGAGGTTGGGCACCACATTCTATACATTACAACAGAAAAGTACTTATCAGTACGTGAAAACATAACAGAAAGTGAACAAAAGACAAAGCATATGAGGATCACAATAACTTTTATTAAATCAATTGACCACACCAAAAAACCACACTTTTAATATCCACCTCAAATATTTCAAAATAGAAACCATCAGTCTTGAGTAAACATGGTAAATTAATTACTTACTTCAAGGCTACAATGAAAAAGAGATGAAACAGGATTTTTTTTTTCTTGAAAGTGAAGACAACTGTGATGTCTTTACAAAATCATTTTCACAAATAGGGTTTTTCTCTTCTGTGAGTTCTTACACATTTCCTGATATCAAGATGATATGTACAAGGCTAGAGATTGGCAGAGCAGTTATGACAAGTTCCCTCCCAGGACCAAGGCCAGATTTTTGACAACTACCTGTAGACAGAGGCTGCTTGTTCATTTCTCGGCTACCCAGACCCAAATAATCACATAGAAACTACATTAATTACAATATTCATTGCTTGGCCTATCAACTCAGGCTCATTATAAACTAACTCTTACGTCTTAAATTAACAGATTTCTATAATCTGTGTATCATCATGAGGCTGTAGTCTACCAGAAAGTTTCAGCATGTATCTCCCTGACTTCACCTACTCTCTCTATATATATCTTGTCCAGCCTGGTTATATCCTGCCCTGTCATACGCCAAAGCAGTTTTATTAATGAACCAATAAAAGCAACACATATAAAGAAGGACATCACATATCAACTACCTGTGTAATTCCTGCTACAAGAAGATCCTAGAATCTAACCTTCTTGGAAACTAGCATTAAAATGCATACCCCCACACAAAGATACAATGACATTGCATAATTAAAATTAAATGAAACCCTTAAAGAAATTGTCGCTCATGAATTTTTTTGAGTAAACATTCATGCATATAACATAGGTGTTTAGGCACTTAAACACTTACTTATAGGTTTTCCTCATCTTTAATTGGTTCTAAGCATATCAGCTTGAAGTCAGAGAAATTGATCCTTCACAGTTGGCTGTATCATGTAGGAAGATTTAAATAATAAAACTGTGCTGGAAGAATAGGACTGAGAGTTTCCATCCACACACCATCTCTATCTCCCACTCTCTGCTTCATGCTGAAGGCTGCTTTAGCTGCTAAGCCTGACACTTGGAGCCCTGCCACTTGCATGGTGATCTTGTATCACTCTGGAACCATGGGAAAATTAAACTCTTTCCTAAGGTGGCTTGGACATTATGTTTATCACAGCAACAGAAAAGGCACTATTACACACCCATAAGTTATTTCATGTAGCTGAAGCATGAAGTCTAAAAGGGTTAACTTACTTAAATCCACAGAGCTTTTGTCACATGAGTTTGCAGATAAAAACAAAATAAAGAGAGATGTCATAATGCTTGAACAGATTGTTGACATTTGTCAGATCTTTTTTTCTCCATAACAAATAATCTTGTGTAATTGAATCTAAGTGTGCTGGCTAATGGTATTGCCAAATCCTTTATAGTCAGATTCCCACAGGTATGAGTTCTTTCAGGTTCTCAAAGATTACTGTGATATACAAAGGCTTTAACAGACCAATTACACACTAAAAGTTCTACTCATATTTAGACCACCATGAAGTGCCAAAATTTTGCCACACATTTATAGGGTTTTTCTTCTGTGATACAATTTTGTCTCAGGATTTTGAAGGGTGTTGATAGAAGCAAAGGCTTTATCACCTTTATTATATTTGTAGTTTCTCCCCAGTGTGTGTTCTTTTATGTCTTTGGAGACTTCTGAGATGTGCAAAGGCTTTATCACATAGCTTACATTTATAAGGTTTCTCTCCAGTACATCTTTTACATATCCTGAGACTACTTTGACATGCAAAGGGTTTACCATATTCACTGCATTCCTAAGGTTTCTCTCCACTGTGTGTTCTTTTTTTTTTATTTATTCATGGGCTATATCATCTAGGAATTTAGATCCCAATCTGATTTATTCATATGGAAAAATTAGCACTAGTACGGGAAAATACATATGAAGTCATAGAAACCAAGAGCAAAAAGCTCTCATAAGCTATTACATAATTTCCTGCAAACATGCTTTCCCCAACAAATAAAATTATAACACAAGGGAGAGAAAATAGCAATTTGCTTGGGGGGGGGGATTCTTTCTACCAGACAAAACATTAAATATTTCCCGAAGAATTACTTTTGCAGATGTGTCTAATCAAGCAGTGTGGATACATGTGACCTCTGCAATAATTAACCGTGACCCCCGAGCAGATAAACGTCACAAAAACATAAGGTGGTCTGGGCAAAGGGTGGGGCACTTGAATGTTTTCTAGCAGCGATCTCTAATTTGCCTATCATTGCAGAAGGCGGGAGCAAACACAAAAGGGACGACTCTGGTCAGGCCACAGCTACTGAGGAGGGAAGCCACATTCAGCGCTGGCCTGACTTGCTGCCTAATGAGGAGCAATTAATTCATTGCATTGTATTCTGAAATGCCTAAGACTCCATTCACATCAAAGAAAAAATTTTTCAAGGCTTTTACACATTGTTCATTTTCAAATGTACAGGGCTATGTTTAGCTCTGTGTCATTGTCCGCAGTGGTTCTTTTCTTCTAATGCAGGCCCCTGGCTTCACAAAGAACCGCAGATGAGGAGCTGGGTAGGTGAGCCTTGAGACGGTCCTAAGAATCGAGGATGCGGGACAGCTGCGGTCTGGAGCTCGGTCCTGTGTCTGGGAGCTGGCAGCTGAGCTCTGGAGTGGGAGCTGGCCTTCACTGCGCATCTTCGCCAGCTGGAGAGACCCATGCACAGCACCAAGTCACCGGGACCCTTCTGCATAGCTTTGCAAAGAACTTGCTTTGGCACCAGACAGGCTAAAGATTAGGGTCAGATCTGTAACCCCAAACAGGTCACAAAGTTTTTCTGAGCCCTTTCTGCCTCCTTGCTAAAGTAAGAGCAAGGGCAGCCAGGATCAGACAAGATGGCAACCCACTGGCTCACCATCCAGGCTTCCCCTACCATGACCTGCTGCTCAGGAGCTCTGGTCTTCAGTGCACAATCTTGGTTGCCAGCGTTATTCTAGAGTGTTCTCTGATATACCTTGGCGGTAGCTTAGCAAGAGATTTCTCAATTTAGATAAAAACATAAAAACAGAGCTGCTTCAGTTTACCCTAAAAAAAAAAAATCTTTGAATCTTGTTCAGCCTGCATAGAGAGGCAAACAGATTCAATGCTGGACTCCCTCACAAAGGCAGTCCTGCATTGCCATATTCCTGGCGGAGATTCTAATTCCACCCCACATCAGCTACTGTGCCTCTGAGACCAAAAGATTCATGTAATGAATGCAAGAGAACCTGAAGACTGGACCCTGAAGGAAGCCAGCATGGTTTCTCAAACCCGAGATATGGCTTGAAGGATGTAGGTTCCCATCAAGGCTTGGGACCTTGTGTTTTGTTCAGGTCCCACTCCCCGTGTGGCCCAGGGACCACAGGGAGTGCCACACGGCTGTCTCCCCTAGAGTACGCCTTATTGATAACACTAACTGGATGCAGCAGGCTGTACTTGAGTGATGCTCCAAAAAGTTCTTGAATTTGAAAGAATAAAATCAATTATTTGAACTTTAAGTTATTTGCTTATTAGAAGGAATGGTGGACCGGAAAGAAAGGTCTGTTCGAAGATCAAATCACAAAGGGCCCCAGGGCAGAAATGAAGGACTCAGCAGAGTTCGCATAGCTAATAATTCAGTCGCTGGATAGATCAGAGGCACAGGAAGCTTGGATGAGGCACTGGTGGGAGCTTTTCTTCATTGCATGCCACAGCCGGACACAAAACAAATCTGCCCAAGACAGACTCCTGCCTCGGTGAGGACAGAGCAAGGCCTCCTTTCCTCTTCCTATTTCCTCATGCTGGGCAATCACTTAAACACAAACGTGAGGTGAAAAGGCTGCCTCCGTCCATCTCCCTTGGCCGCAATGCATAATAAATTCCAGGGTCTCTGCCTTGATAGTTCTGGGCTTCTTGGGTGTAGAAGGAGACTCAGAACAAAAGGCACTGTGTTGGAACTTTAGCTGGAATGAAAATCACGAGATTTCCTTCCGGCAAGAACCTGAATGTGACTAGACACCTGCTTCCTGGTCCTTGTCTTCCCTGTCCTGAGTTTGATGTATCTGGCTATCAATTGATTTCTACCATACACTTTGTCTTCGTCTGATAAGATGATTTTCCTCCTCCCGCATGGCGGATAGATCGCCAGGGCCTCCTGAAAGCTCCGCTCGACGTCAGGGCTCCAGACCCCCTCCGCGTTGTCAATCGGCTTATCCGCCGAGTCGCTCATCCTTTCCATGTTTTCGGCAGGACTCTCGCTGCTGCTCCAGCTGCTGGGCTCAATTTTGGCGGTTGGATTTTCCAAGCCGAAGCCTGGAGCCTTTTCAAGGAAACAAACCTCGGCCGCCCGAGCTGGTGCGGCAAACTTCGGCCCCTGAGCTGCTCCAGCCGGTACTCCTCGCGGTGCTCCCGCACCGGGCCGCCCCAGGCCGGCCTCGCCGGCTCCCGGGACTGGCAGGGCTGGAAGAGAGTGTGCGAAGTGCTGGGGGGCGCCTGCGGAGGCTCGGTACGGTGAGCGGTGGGAGCAATGAGAAGAATGTGTGGAATCTCTACTGTGTGTTCTTTTATGTACTCGGAGACTACTGTGACTTCTAAAGGCTTTACCACATTCATTACAGCTGTAAGGTTTCTCTCCAGTATGTGTTCTTTTATGTATTTGGAGATTACTGTGACTGCTAAAAGCTTTACCACATTCATTACAGCTGTAAAGTTTCCCTCCACTATGTGTTCTTTTATGTTTTTGAAGATGATTGTTACTTATAAAGGCTTTACCACATTGATCACAGCTGTAAGGTTTCTCTCCACTGTGTGTTCTTTTATGTTTTTGAAGATGATTGTTACTTATAAAGGCTTTATCACATTGATTACATTTGTAGGGTTTCTCTCCAGTATGTATTCTTTTATGTACTCGCAGATAATAGTTACATGTAAAAGCTTTACCACATTGATTACATTCATAAGGTTTCTTTCCAGAATGTTTTCTTTTATGTACTTGAAGATGACTGGGACATCCAAAGGCTTTACCACATTGATTACAATTGTAAAGTTTCTCTCCACTGTGTATTTTTTTATGATTTTGGAGATGACTCTGTTGTGCAAAGGCTTTGCCACACTGACTATGTTCAAAGGATTTCTCTCCAGTAGGATGTGTAGGGGCTGCACCATATTCAGTACCTTCACAGGGTTTCTTTCCAGTATGATTCCTCTCAATCCTTTGAAGATGACTATGACATGCAAAGGCTATACAACACTGAATGAATTCAGAGGGTTTCTCTCCAGTACAAATTCTTTCATGCCTGTGGAGAAAATTGGCAAATGGAAAAGCTTTAACACATTCATTATTCTGATGAATCTCTATACTTATATACAAATTAATTTTAAAATTCAGACTAACTGTAAAGGGGAATCAGATATTAAGGTTTACACTCATGGTGTTCCCCTAAATTAAGCATTGTTTTGTGTCTTTGAAGATACCTGTGATAGTAAAAGCCTTTAAAAAAAATGGTCCATTTTTTAAATATAGTATCTTTTTTCCATGTTCATATATTTGAAGAGAACTGGAAGAACTTAGAACTTTACCATACTGTTCCATTAATAAGTTTTCCTACAGTGTGAGCCATACCACATTTCAAAATGAACCATGACAAACAGATGTATTTACACATTGCAACAGTCATGGGGATTTGCTACAATGTGAGGTTGTTGATGTATTCCCAATAAAGTTGGAAAACAAATTAATTGTAAACTTGTAAATTGTATCACATTCAACAAGCTACTCAAAGTGCAGACTACAAACTATCTTCTAATAGTCCTGGAAGAGAAACAGGTAAACCGCTCCTTTCCATATCCTTATGTGCACATGGCTTGTATGCAGAGTGACATATGAGGTATCTATTAAAAAAGAATAACAACAAAAGATTTCCACAGTGCATTCACATTTTGACTTTCTGTTCCTCATAGACATGTGGTATAGGTATTAAGATTTTTCCACAGCAACCTTGTTGACTCTCATAAACTGTCCCCCTTTGATAAATTTAGTAGTCACAAGTATATGAGGACCATGAGCCTTGCTGTGGACGATTGCTTGTTAGGTTTTGAACATATACTTATGACATCTATACCTTTTGCACTCTCTAAGTGGTATAAACCTCAATGGATCAGAACTTCTACAGTGTAGCTATCATTGGCCTGAGATTCAAATGGTGATATTTGTGAGGCATTGTTTCCTTGTCTTCTTTCTGAGAGGAATGACTTGAAAACAGAGATCACCTCCCTGACACTGAGTTATATGGTTTTGTGAGAAGTTAATAATCATGAATACACTTTAAGCTGTGCTTATTTATACCATTGATTTTCTTTAACACTTCTAGGACACACTAAAAATTTCTTTAGAGCCACATTCTTATCAGCCGTAAATGAAAATTACCTTCCATGTCTTCTAGAACTTTGACATCCTTCTTCAATAGGACGGGTTTCCCAATGGTAGCCTAAAATACAGTAGCGGGAAATGTAGGATAAATTACTGGAAACTGTACAAGATTGAAATTACTATCTTCAGGGAACCTTAACAACTTCTTCTCTTTCAATAAAAATTACAGAAGATCACCAATAACCAAGAAACAGTTCTTTTATTTTAAAATGTGAAGGAAAATTCAGTCTTACCTATAGCAGTGAGGTTCCTGTAGGTCTCCAGCATCACAGATTTGTACAGACTCTTCTGGGAAAGATCCAGCAAAGCCCACTCTTCAAAACTGAAGTCAATATGCACGTCATCATAGGTCACTGCACTCTAAAATATACCATACATGTGTACAACAGAAAGAATGATACTGAAAAGGTGTAAAGGTATACTTCTTTGACAATATATTCATATAATTTTGTTGCTCCCCACACTTTATTCCACAACATAGAAGTTCTAATATAATCTCCAAGTCACTTTAAAAAGAAACTGTATGAGAGGTTCACCTTTGCCCTTTCTGCACCCTCTGAAAAGGATATAGCCTTAAAAGAAAAATGCCTATTAACAGACATACAGCAAGACAAACAACAGATCAACAGTACTGATAACACATCAGAGTGATTGAATGAACAGTTACAAGTATAAATACATGAACAAGCTGGGTGTCTTCACTCATGCCCATAATCAAAGGGCTCAGGAAGCAGAGGTAAGTGAATTTAATTGAAGTGGATGCCAGCCTGGCATATGAAGTGAGTTTCAAGATAGCCAGAGTTATGCCGGGGCGATGGTGGCGCACGCCTTTAATCCCAGCACTCGGGAGGCAGAGGCAGGCGGATCTCTGTGAGTTCCAGACCAGCTTGGTCTATAGAGCTAGTGCCAGGACGGGCTCCAAAGCCACACAGAAACCCTGTCTCGAAANAAAAAAAAAAAAAAAAAAAAAAAAAAAAAAAAAAAAAAAAAAAAAGCCAGAGTTACGTATCAATAAGACCTGTCTCTACCACAAATATCAATCAAATAAAAAAGGTAGAAGGAACTGAGAGGTTTTTACAGAAGTTCTTACAAAGAGGAAGGTATTCACTCCAGTTCTATATTCATCTTCCAGGAACCTGAGGTGCTGCAGATTAAACTGTCACATTAATAAGATCTTACTAAAATGGAATGCAGTTACAAATGGACAGATGAAAATATTAGCAATGAAATGTTGTTATTAATAAAGAACACAGGGGAGGACAGATGGTTCAGTAGTGAAGATCTCCTGCTAGTCTTGCACATAGGTGGTTCAATTGCCAGTATTTAAATCGGGGCTCACAACTATCCATTACTCCAAGTTGCAGGGATGATGAGGCCATCTTCTGACTACTGTGAAGAGCAAGCATATGGGCAAAAAAAAAAAATCATATTTGTTCATAGGAATTCAAAATAAGCACATTAGGTAAGAGGATTGTCACACGTTTGGAATTCTGTGACTCAGAATGTCCAGGCAGTATTAATTTCATGAATATTGCCAACCTGGGAAAAAGAATGAAACCCAAATTTCAAAATTCAAGATGCAGGTGAAAAATCAGTACAACAGCATATGCTTGACATACATACAAAAACCTACGTTCCAGACCTATCAGGCAATAATATATATATTTCAAAAACCCAGGCCCACCTTTACAACCCGCATTCCAGGACCCAGAATCACTTGGATCTCTGAGTTGAAGCCAGCCTGGTCTACAGAGCTACTTTCAGAACAGCCAGTACTACATAGATAAACCTTGCCTTAAAAAACAGAAATGAAAACAAACAAACAAACAAAAAAATCAGCCTAACAAATTGCATTGAATAGCAATTGTTCAACTGTATCTCATGTTCTTTAGTGATATCATCTACAGTGATGGTGAAGTCATGAAAACAGGACACAAAGTCCAGAAAATGGCTGAGGTTATATATAAACATGCAAATCCCATCTCCAGTGAGTCCTGAAGGTTCTACAAGCATCCCAAAGATACTCACCATAAATAAATAAGTATTCAAATAAATCATCCTATCTGGGGCTTTTCATTCAATTGGCTACATTCTGACTCAGGTCACTACAGACTCTTGATAATTCCATAAAAAATGAACTTACCCTAACTTTAATGATTATCATAGCCTTCAACAGCCCCTATACCATTTAAATGTCCAAAGTCTCTTCTGACACTCAAGGCAATAGTGACATCTTGAAAAATCAGAAAACAAGTGACATCTTTCCAACATAAAATGGCACAGAATACCCATTACTATCCCAAAAGAGAAGAACAGAGACATAGTAAGGAGAGATTGGAGCAAGGCAAGACTGAAACCCAAGAGGGCAAACACCAAATCCTGTAGCTCTGTCTCAGACACATGGAGCTTCGGTTTCAAAGGGCTTAGGTGCCTCATTTTTCCCTGCAACTTATCATACATCTCTCCATGGAATATGTCTCATAGCTTAGATATTTCAACATCTTGTGCTCTCAAAATGCAACCCAGGCTTCGATCTCACAGCTTCAGGCCATGAACTCACAACACTGCATCTCAGACTCTGCCAAATATAGACACACGCAACAGTGTTAAACTAAAACCACACACCATCAGCTCCTAACCTGAAATTTCCAGAACCAGCACAACATGGCAGATCCTGCCAAGACCAGCTTCTTAATTAGGATGGAACCTGTCTCACTTGGACCACAGTTGCAGCAGGCTAAGTACAAAGCTGCTTTCTGCAACTCGGAATCACTCTGCCTAATCTTTCCATTAATCAATGGAGTATCAGTTTTAGGACACCTTGCTATTTTCCACTGAAGAACAAGGGCCTCCTCTTTAAAGGTGAAAATCTCCTTGAAAATTCCTGCCTGCTTCAGCACTTGAGGGCCATCTGAAACTACCTTATCATAATCACTTATTTCTGTCCCACTTGCTGACTTTTTAACTGTGGACCTGAAGAAGCAAGCCATCACTAATAATCATCCAACAGACTTAACATTCCATCTAAGAAAGCAGGCCATTACTTTTTAATGCTACCTCCTCACTCAGTTTCTCAGGGCATGGGCAAAACAGGAGAGATTTCTGGTCAATAGATCACACAAATGGTCTCTAACTTAATCTTTGAGTCTATTTCCAACTGAAATTCTATGACCTCGACTTCCACTGTCTGTATTACTCTCAACACTCCAGGTTCTACAAGAAGAGACAGTTAAGCTCTGTGTACAGCTTTGCAGGTATTTTCTAATCTAAAGTATGGAAATCTTCCACATTCTTCCAAAAGACAGTATTATCAGGTTCTGACCAGCAGCAACAATATCACTTTTGGTGGCACATTTTTTTTTGTTGTGGTTGTTGTTCTAACATGATTCTCTGTTGCTTGATTAAATCCTTTAGCCAAAAGAACCTCAGGTAATGAATGGTTTTTTTTTCTTGTTGTTGTTTTTGTTTTTCTGATTCTGTCATTTTGGAAGCTTATGATAAAATACTCAAGCTAGCAACTGAAGATAAAAAGCATGACAGACAATCTTTCTTGGCTTTTTCTCTTGCATCGTCATTGTCTCATATTTAACTAGCTCTTATCCATCTGAGGCCCACTTGAGAAGGGATATTCCTCAGTGGAAGAACCGTCCCACATTAATCATCGACCAACAATCTCTCACAAATGTAGGAGTTTATTGTTATTATGAATAAAGCTGTTAGAAAAATGGTTACGCAAGTGTACTTGTAGTAAGATGGAGGAACATTTTTTGGGTATATGACTAATAGTGGTATAGCTGCGTCTAAGTAGACAGATTATCTGAAGAACTGCTATATTGATTTCCATAGTGGCTATGCAACTTTATATTCCCACCAGGAAGTAAGGAGAGTTGCCCATGAGCTGTCATTTGCTCAATTGATCCCAACCATTCTGACAGGTATAAGATGAAATCTCAAAGTAGTTTTGATTTCCTTTTCCTTGATGGTGAAGAATGTTGAACATTTCTTTAAGTGTTTACTAGCCATTGTAGAATCTTCTGTTGTGAATTCTGTTTCAATTGGGCACACATATAACAACACACTTTTAATATCTACCACAAATACTGCAAAATAGAAATCACGATGCTGTAATCTTAACCATCAGTCTTGAGTGAACATGGTCAATTATTTACTTACTTGAAGGCTACAATGAAAAAGAGATGAAACAGGAATTTTTTTTGAAAGTGAAGACAACTGTGATGTCTAGTCTTACAAAATCATTTCCATAAATAGGGTTTTTCTCTTTTCTGAGTTCTTCCATATTTCCTGGTATCAAGATGATATTAAAAGCATAAATATTTACAGGGCTAGAGATATGGCAGAGCAGATATGAGAAGTTCATTCCCAGAACCAAGGTCAGGTTTTTGACAACTACCTGTAATTCCTGCTACAAGAGAATCCTAGGGTCTAACTTTCTTGGGTACCAGCATGCACATGCATATATCCACACAAAGACACAATAACATCACATAATTAAAATTAAACCAAATCTTTAAACAAATTTTCACTCATGTTTTATCTTGTCGAAGCATTCATGCCTGTAACACAGGTGGTGAGTCATTTAAAGGCTTACTTACAGGGTTTTTCTTCATCTTGAATTGGTTCATGCAACAGAAAGCAAGCATGTCAGCTTGAAGTCAGAGAAATTAATCCTTCACAGTTGGCTGTATCATGTGGGAAGACTTAAACAATGCTGCTGGGCTGAAGAAACGTGTCCCGGGGGCAGGCCTGAGACTTTCCATCCACACACCATCTCTACTTCCCACTCTCTGCTTCATGCTGAAGGCTGCTTAGCCTGACACTTGGAGCCCTGCCACTTGCATGGTGATCTTGTATCACTCTGGACCCATGGGAAAATTAAACTCTTTCCTAAGGTGGCTTGGATATTACGGTTCATCACAGCAACAGAAAAGGGACTATTACACATCCATGGAGTTTTATACATGGATGAGTTATTTCATGTAAGTGAAGTAAAGTGTAAAATCTGAAAGGGTTACCTTATTTTTTAAATTCACCGGGATTTCGTCCATTTGAATTTGGTGGTACAAATGGAATAAAGAGAGACATCAAATGTTTGAACAGATTGTTGACACGTCAGATTTTTTTCCCCTTCAATCTTGTGTAACTGGATTTAGGTATGTTGGCTAAAGATCTTACCAAATCCTTTCATTTCAGATTGCCTTCGGTGTGAGTTTTTTGAGGTTCTCAAAAACTACTCTGATATGCAAAGGTCTTAACATATCAAGGTTTACTCTTGTATTAATATTATGAAGTGCAAAACTTTTCCACACTCACTACATTTATAGGGCTTTTCTGCAGTATAACTTTTTCTCATGATTTTGGACAACAGCTGATATATGCAAAGGTTTTATCACACTGATTACATTTGTAGGGTTTCTCTCCAATGTGTTCTTTTATGTATTCGAAGATGACTGTGATGTGCAAAGGCTGCCAAACATTGATTACATTTGTAAGGTGTCTCTCCAGTATGTATTTTTTTATGAATGTGGAGACTACCTTGATGTGCAAAGGTTTTCCCACATTGATTACATTGATAAGGTTTTTCTCCAGTATGTTTTCTTTTATGAATTTGAAGCTGACCATTACTTGTAAAAGCTTTGCCACATTGATGACATTCGTAGGGTTTCTCTCCAGTATGTCTCCTTGTATGTATTTGGAGATTAGTTTGTTGTGCAAAGGCTTTACCACATTGATTACATTTGTAGGGTTTCTCTCCAGTATGCGTTCTTTTATGTACTTGAAGATGATTGTGACGTGAATATGCTTTACCACATTGATCACATTCATAGGGTTTCTCTCTAGTATGTGTTCTTTTATGAATACGGAGATAACTCTGATGTGCAAAAGTTTTACCACATTCATGACATTCATAGGCTTTCACTCCAGTATGGGTTATTTCATGTATTCGGAGATTACATTGCTCTGAAAAGACTTTACCACACTGATTACATCTGTAGGGCTTCTCTCCAGTATGTGTTCTTCTATGTATTTGAAGATGACTGTGACGTGCATAGGCTTTACCACATTGATTACATTTGTACGGTTTCTCTCCAGTATGTGTTCTTGTATGGATCTGAAGATTACAATGTTGTGCAAAGGCTTTACCGCAATGATTACACTCATAAGGTTTCTCTCCAGTGTGTGTCCTTTTATGTTTCCGAAGAAGACCATGACTTACAAAGGCTTTATCACATTGATTACATTCATAAGGTTTCTCTCCAGTATGTGTCCTTTTATGTATTCGAAGACTACTACGGTGTGTAAAAACTTTACCACATTGATTACATTCACAGGATTTCTCTCGAGTATGAATTCCTTCACGCCTTTGAAGATGCCTGTGACATGCGAAGTGAGTATATTCAGAGGGTTTTTCTCCAGTATGACTTCTTGTGTACCTGCAAAGACAATTGGTACATGTAAAAGCTTTACCACATTCATTACACTGATGAATCTTTACAAATTTATGAATTAATTTTACAATTTGATCTAAATGTAAAAAGGGATAAGATCTTAGGGTTACACTCATGGTATTCCCTTTTATTAAGGGTTGTTTATTTTGGGTCTTTGAAAATACCTATGATGACAAGACCCTTTATTACATGGCTCACATTTATAGCATCTTATTTCTATATGACATTTTTCACATATTTGAAGAGAAATGGAAGAACTCCAAGCTTTATCATATTGCTGTATTCAAAATTTTCCTATAGGTAAATGATAGTACATTTCCAAAGTGAACCATGACAAACAGAAATATCTATACATTCCAATACTCATAGGGTTTTTCTGCAGTGTGAGTTTGTTGATGTATTACCAATGAAGTTGGAAAACAAATATTAATTGTAAACTTGTATCACATTCTACAAGTCTAAAGACTACTACATATCTTCTAATTGTCCTGAGAGAAAGAGAGAGAGAGAGAGAGAGAGAGAGATGCTTCTTTCCATAATCCTATGTTCAAAATGCTTGTACCCAAAGTGACATATCGGAGGAAGAACAACAAATAAAAGGTTTCCACATTGCATTTACACAGATTGCTGTTCTGTTCCTCATAGACAGGAATTAAGGTTTTCCCCAGCAACCTTCTTAGTCTCATAAATACCCTCTCTCATTAAACTTAGCAAAATCACTATAAATATATGGGTAACACTAGCTTTACTGGGGACTATTTGCTTATTAGAAGGTTTTGGACAGATCCTTATCACCTATTCAATGTGTACATCTTTTGCAATATCTGAGTGCTGTGAAACTAGAAGAGCTTGTAGTTCTACATCCTAGCTCTTATGGTATTTTGATTCAAACGGTCATATCAGTTAAGGCATTGTTTCCTTGTCTTCTTTCTTAGAGGAATGTCTTGCAAAGACGGATCAACTACCTGACAATGAGATATATGGATGTGTGAGAATTTAATAATCAATACACTTTAAGATGTGCTTGTTTACACTGTTGCTTTTCTTCAAAACTTCAGGACTCATTTAAATTTCATATGCATATTTGTATCGGCTTACACATGAAAATTACCTTCCATGTCTTCTAGAAGTTTGACAATGTTCTTCAATATTATGGTCTTCCCAATTGTAGCCTAAAATATACAACCAGAAAAATGTGTCATATATTTTTAGAAATTGTACAAAATTCAGGTTACTAACTTCAGTGCACCTTAAAACTATTTGGTTGGAGCCAAATGGTGGTGGTACACACCTTTAATCCCAGCACTTGGGAGGCAGAGGCAGGCGGATCTCTGTGAGTTCGAGGCCAGTCTGATCTACAAGAGCTAGTTCCAGGACAGGTTGGAAGCATCACCCCAGCTGCTGACACTCCTATATCCAAAGAATCTGGACTGTTTGAGTGGGGCTTCATCTTAGCCCCTAGCATCCATTTTGGACCATCTAGGTAGAAAGTTCCATTTCAAGTCCCATCCTCTGGGAGTTACAGAAAGCCACTAAACAGTGACTCCTTTGCAGGGAGGGTCAAGACCACTCCCACAAGCTATTTAAACTGCACCTGCCTCCCCCTCCCTGAGAATGAGTGGTCCTCCAGGTTCTCTGTTCCCCTCTTTGTGTTTTCCTAGGAGTGCTGGCATCCATTAAACCTGGGCCTTTTCTAATTCGGTTTGATTTGGTCTGATTTAAATTATTGTGTCGGTGGAGAGGTTTCTTGGGCCAAAAAATCTTTACAAAAACCATGCCTAATTTATTCACCTCATTCTTCCTTTCCCAATTGAAATTATAGAAGAGTATCAATAACCAAGAAACAGTTGTCCCCTTATTTTAAAACATGAAGTAAAATTCAGTCTTACTTATAGCAGCGAGGTTCCAGTAGGTCTCCAGCATCACATCTTTGTAGAGATTCTTCTGGGAGGGATCCAGCAAAGCCCACTCTTTCAGAGTGAAGTCAACATGCACATCATCATAGGTCACTGCATTCTAAAATATCCCATGCATGTGTACAACAGAAAACATGATACTGACAATATTTTAATGTATACTTCTTTGACAATATATTTGTATAATTCTGGTGCTTCCCACAGTTATTCCATGACTGAAGTTCTAATGTAATTACCAAGCCACTTTAGAAGGAAACTTAATAGGAAGTTTACCTCTGTCATTTCTTCACCCTTTGAATGGGATATAGCCTTGAAAGAGAAATGCCAACTAACAGACATAAAAAGAGACAAGCAAACAGATCAATGGTACTGAGTACCATCAGAGAAACTGTATGACCAATTACTAACTACAAAAAAAGATGGGAAAGCTTGGTATATTGACTCATGCCTTTAATACCAGCACTCAGGAGGCAGACGCAAGTGTATGCCATTGAGTTGGATGTCAGTCTGGTCTATGTCGTAAGTCTAGGACAGTCAGAATTACATACTAATAAGACTCTGTCTCCCCTACAAAAATCAATCAAACAAAAGGGCAGAAAGAACTCAGAGGTTTTCACTGACATTCCTACAAAGAGTTATACATTCACTTCAGCTGTATTCATCTTCCAGAAGCCTGAAGTGCCCCAGGTTAAACTTAACATTAAGATCTAACTATAAGAGAATGCATATTTCAAAAGTTACAAATGGATAGATGAAAATATTAGCAACAAAAAGACAATCCTAAGTGGGCATCCTAGGGCAGGAGAGGTGGCTCAGCAGTTAAGAGCTCTTGCTGGTCTTGCAGATAGGTGGGTTCAATTGCCAATACTTACACAGGGGCTCAAAACTATACCTCCAAGTTCAGGAGTTCCAAGGCTATCTTCCAACTACTGTCCAGTGCAGGCAAACATTTAGTGAATATCCATCCATACAGGCAAAAGGCTCATTCATTCAAATAATTCAAAACAAACACAACAGGTAAGAATGTCACACACCTGCGATCCAATGCCTCAGAAGGCTCAGGCAGTATTAATGTCATGAATACTGCCATCCTGGGAAAGAGAATGATACCCTCTAACAAATTTCAAAATTCAAGATGTGTGTGAAGCTCAGCACAAAAGCATACACTTGACATATACAAAAACCCACAACACAAAAACAAAACAGAAAAACAGGTGTGTTGGACCCCCTCTAATCTCAGCACACAGGAGTCAGTCATTTGGACCTCCGAGTTGAGGCCAGCCTGGTCTATAGAGCTACTTTCAGGACGCCCAGGGCTACACAGAGAAACCTTGCCTTCAAAAACAAAAATAAAAACAACATTTTTTTGGGAAAAAAAACATATTAGGCTAGCAAAATGGCTTATCACTGAATAACAGTTGCTTCAACTGTATCTTATATGATTTAGCTATACCATCTATAAGAGTGGTGAAGTCATGAGCCCAGGACACAAAGAGCAGGAAATGGGCTGTGGCTAGACATGCAAATCCCATCCCCAATGAGGAAATTCATCGAGAAAGGCCCCTCCTACTAAAGGTTCCAAAGGACCCCAAATAAAGCCACCAAAGAGAGACAAGTATTCAAATACATCATTGTATTTGGGAGGTTTTCATCCAATTGACGACATGCTGACACAGGTCACTGCAGACTCATTATCATCCTATGATGAAAATGTATTTGATCTAACTTCGACTACTGTCATAGTCTACAACATCCCCTACACTGTTCAAATGTTCACAGTCTCTTCTGATACTCAAGACAATCTCTTATAATACCAAGGAACAAATCAAACATTTCCAGCACACAAATACACAGAATATATTCCCATGCAGAACAAAGGGACTGTGGCAGACATCCCATGCT